GCCGTGGTATTCCAGATTATGCGTGTATGCGTGTATACGTCCATGCGTGTATGCGTATATGCGTGTGCCGTGGTATTCCAGATGGTCAAAGCCTTCTACATTGTCAAACGTGTACATATCACACAAAATCATACAAAATCTATATGCGGATATTCACTTTACAGCTGGCTGATCTCTTTCAAAATATACGTCAAAACAAAGGACATCCGTCTATTTATTCATTCGTGAATTTAAACTATGTAGGCATATGTACGTATACATATGTAACTACACACGTCGAAATTAAAAAAAAAAAATAAAATCAGAAGAGTCATCGTTCTATAGTAGCAAAACACAACGCGTTATTACCGTCGAGTGGTCCGCTAAAAGAACGGAAAGTTGGAAAACAAAATGTATCATGGAATTGAAGTAACTTTTTTCGGGTGAAGTTAGAAATGAATGCCTTATTAAGGAGTTTATTCAGGTGTTTGTGTTATTGCGTGACTACAAGAACCAGAGGGTCTTGGACTCCTTCCAAAGACATTTTGGTGTTTGAAATGCCTGCTGCGAAGTTTAGACAACGAAATAGCGAAAGCATTAATGAGAACAATTTTGTTTCAAAACCAGAATGGCTTAACCACTGGACAATTAGTAAGGGATGGCTTCGTGACAGAACACACTTGGATCGTTCTGAAAACGTCATAAGGCATCTGAAATCTGACAATAAAGTCAAAATTGAAGAAAGAGAAAACCTAAAGGTATCTGAAAATGCTTCTAGATATAAATTAAACCAAAAAGATGATAACGTTACTCATTGGACCCCTAGTACAGGGGTTAATTGTGTTACACCGAAATTGACAAAAGACACTTTTTTAAACCTAACCCTCAGATCCGAAGAAACTGGAATAAATGTTGAACCAATTGTTTCAAATTTAAAAAAAATTCAGTCAAATCAAAATGACGATAGCGTCAACCGTAATAGTCAGAGATTTTTGCCACCTGGATTTAATTCCATAAAGCTAAACACATTGGACGAAGCTTTCCAAAACTATCGAAAACATTTTCCTAGAGCAAACTACAAATTGGTCGCAGGGGGTAACATAATCCTGCCAAACATAACCCCCGAAATGAAAAGAAGAAGCGACAGAAACTTCTTAACAAAATGTTGGCCCAAAGTATTCACCAAACGTTATAAAACGAGAAAGATTTCGACAACGAACCCCTTCAGTAATAACGAAACCGAAGCGTCAATTTGTAGCACCGTCAACCCCCTAACGAACGCCAATTTTTTCACCGACGAAAACTTGGGCGAAAGCCGAAATATATGTAACTTTAACGCAAAAAAGAAATTTGTAAAGAGCACAAGTCTGATCGACGAAACAATTTACGAATGTTCGGAAGATAACGCAAGCGTTTACGCCAACCCCTTGTACACCCCTGCTGAAGAAGTCGCGGATAACAAGGCCGAAACGTTGTGCAGAAATAAAACTCTTGAAAATCTGTGTTTCATGATGAGATACAGGGACGCCTATTTTTTGTACACCTCTTCGGCCAAATCGGCCGCTAGGAGTCTAAGGCAGCGGACGAAATTTCAAAAATACGTTATCAAACGGATTAAAATGAAATTAACTTTTACCGTTCATGTGGGAAAGATAAGATGCGTCAGTGGTGTATTTAATAACAATAATAATTACGTTAACAACAAAAGGACAAGAGAACAATGGCGTTTGTTTGATGAAAATCGCAAGATTCATGACGACAAAGTGAAGGAAAATGAGTTTAGAATGGCGATAGCGAAAGTGCACGAAAATCAAAGGAGGCTTAGTAATGGAATCACGTCGTTAAAAATCCAAAATTTAAGGTTTGTTTGCGGATGTGTCTCAGCCAATTTGAATAATTACGGTTCAATAGTTCGTGTATAGATATAAATTAATTAATAGACTGTTGAATTCTGTTGTAAAGAATACGAAAGGGTTATAAATTTTGTTCGTTATAGCCGGTAACTTTTTTACATATTTATACACTATTTTAGAAAGAATATAGTGAAACAAACAATTTAAATACATCAAATTTAATATGGAAGCGGTATTGATAAAACTTGAAAGTCAATAAAAGTGAAACTCGAAAAAGATTGTTACAGGTGTATGTCTAGAGGACGGCTGTGCACGAGTGCGAAACGTGGACGGTGGGCGCGGCGCAAAAAAAGGTTAGAACGGAAAGTTGAGAATGTATTAGAATGAGTAGGAAAAGTCAGTACGAAATAAGCGAGATAGGTTGATAGGACACCTCTTCAGGCAAGAAGGACTATAGTTAGAAACATATTAGAAGCAGAAACAGGAGTTAAGAGGAGTAGAGGTAGACCTACATTATGGTTCACAAACAGTTAAGAATGTTGGATGTTCTAGTCTTGGATTAATGCACAGGATAGGATAAAGTGGGGGTGTGTGTCCAACCAGTCTTAGGACTGATGGCCTTAGCTTAGCGTGAAAGATAAGAGCCAAAATAGGGTTGCAAATAATTTTATTGATGTAAAATCACCATCAATCATTTTATATCAAAATTACAATCCCGTTTTGTTTCTGATCATTCTAATCAGAGAAAAAAATGGAAACCATAGTTTCTTTAGCTTCGGGTTCATTTAATAAGTGAAGTTTTTCAAATCGTTTTCTAGGAATTCTGGATTATACGCATTTATTAGCACATCACAATATCCTGTAGCTTTCAGTTTTACGGGTAGTTTTGTCGTAATTCACAGAATTTCGTAGTTCTTGCTAAGAGTACGATAAGTGGTGATTTGGCAGGTGCTGACATCAATTTGGAACTTTAAAAATCCATGGACCATGACAGTGAACACGGAAAACAATATCGATCCAATATTTTAGATTATCCATTTCCGAGGAGTTTACAATTTTTTGGGCTCTCTTCAGTTAGAGAATTAGAAGGCATTCATGGAATGTCTCTTTGTCTTCTTTTTAAGCTTCTAATACCTTTAATGGCCAATGTGAGCAACTTTCATCACTTTATATAATGATTGATCGGTGATACTAGCAAAACTTTTAACTGCAAAATACATTTTGCATTTTACAAATAGAAAACATGTTTGGAGAAGTATTTTAAATGCAAGATAAAAATAGGTATTTTTTATTTTGTATTCGCATTTTAAATGCAGGTATTTCAAACAAATCACAACTATGATCAAGTCAAATATGTTCTTGGGGAAGTAAAGAATGTAAATAAAGAATTCGCAAGACAGTAAGGAAACCAATTCGTATAAAAAATCCTTTCACGAATAATTCGGTAGATTGTGTGACAATTCCGTTCAATTTCCGGATTGTAGTATAAAAGTTGGACTGTTTGAATAAAAAGTGAATGTTGCTAGAATTTGATTAATTAGCGATTCGGTTCGGGTTTCACAACCTTTTTAAGAAAAAGCTGCTCGATGGAAAGGACAGTTTTTTGACCTTCCGCTCTATGCTTCAATAAACAAAGTTCATATTAGTAGCATATAATATCGATCCAGACGTAAATAGTTATACGTGTATGGTTTTAAAATGATAACTTTGCAGGTGTTATACATACATTTCATCACTTCAATAACTTTATTTTAAGAATATCAAGTATATTTGAAACTGCGATCCAATCTTCGCATATCTAAGAAAAAGAATATCTCACAATAATGAGAAATAATGCAAAAATCAAAAAAGGGATCCCAAATTTTAAAACAGTGTTTTAGTTTCTCAAAAATGATGCACTTAAGAGCAGTTAAATCTTCTTATTATCTTAAAAGTCTTGTCGGCCGTACAAGGTTTCTCGCTTGACGTAACGTTGAAGTCTCCTTGCAATTCTAAGTAATTTTAATTCTAACACGTTTATGAGCTGAAATTACACGCACTTATGTAGATTTCCTTTAATTATAACTTTTCTTCTGAACAAATGAAATGTATTAAACAAAATTTTAAGTAAAATGAGACGCTATGTAGGTAGTGCATATCTTCTAACTTAAACTTTAAACTGAACTGTATTGTATGATTAGTTTGCTGACTTAAAAATAGTTAAAGTCACTAAAATATCATAGAAATACTGAAAATTCTGTACAACAAACCCTAACAATTACATTACAATAAGTAAGACAACAATATACTGATTGGTACAACAATTGCCTCAAATATGAAAAAAAGTATATTTTTTACGAAAAGTGGCTGATTTAAGGTATAATATAGGAAGTCAGACAAGTCAGGACGGAAGGGGTAGTAGGGAAATAAAGCAGAGGATAGCGCAGGGTCGAGTCGCCTTCAATAAAAAGAAGTCACTTCTATGCTCGCGGACGGTTAATTTAGAAATTCGAAAAAGATTGTTAAAGGTGTATGTTTAGAGGCGGCGCTGTACGGGTGCGAAACATGGACAGTGGGCGCAGCGGAAAAGAAAAGGTTAGAAGCGTTCGAAATGTGGTGTTACCGGCGAATGATGAGGATACCGTGGATAGAGAAGGTTAGAAATGAAGAGGTATTAGAAAGAATAGGAGAACTGAGGACTCTATGGAAGTCAATAAGAAATATTCGAGATAGATTGGTAGGGCACCTTCTTAGACATGAAGGTCTAGTCAGAGACATATTGGAGGCAGAAACGGGAGTTAGGAGGGGTAGAGGTAGACCTAGATTAGATTACTGTTCGCAAATAGTTAAGGATGTGTATTGTTCTAGTTTTGGGGAAATGCGAAAATTGACTCAGGAAAGGAAAGAGTAGAGGTGCGTGTCCAACCAGTCTTAGGACTGACGACCTTAAGATGATTATTTACCTATGATGCAAGATAGAGTTTTTCGATATAGAGAGTTTACACTGTATTAAAAGTATCTAATGTGTTAGACGACAAATCCATATATTGTAATCTCTATTACAGACACGGAAGGCTCAACGTTCTACGCTGGCTACTGTGGGAATCTCAGCAGCGAGAAAAATCAAAAATGCCGGCCCTGGAATGTTCGACTAGCAGCAGCACGCTGGCGCTACACTACGCTGCAGCTCGAGGCTGTCTCGACTGCGTGAGGCTATTGGTCGATTCTGGGCCAAATCTTAAGTAAGTAATGCTACGTATTAGTTCTTCTATTTTAATGAGGATGTCATGAACTAACGACAAATTGTACAGTAGATATCGGTTATAACGACGAAATGTAATCTTTAAAACCGGAGATCGTTACACCTAAACACTGTAATAACATCATGATAGGGTCTCGATTATTCGGGTTCCTAAATGTCAAAAATTTTAAATAATATTGACTCAATCCTTTTTTTCTAAGTCCCTTACGTACATACTAATGTTTTTGTTTTATTATTTTTTTTATTTTCATATCATCGTATTGTATTGGCATCTGGAAGTGGTATTGACAATAGTACGGTTTGAAAACAAATAAAAGTAAAACAAAACAAGAAAAAGTAGGGAAAGAGTGAATATAAAGATATGAGACGACAAATTAGAAGAACTGACTGATTTTCGGTATCTAGGAGGTCAGATAATTCAGGATAGAAGGAACAGCAGAGATAAAAAGAAGGACAGAGCGGTCTAGAGTCACCTTTAATAAAAATCGAACGGTTTATTGAGAAATTGGAAAAAATTGCCAAAGGCGCATGTCCTGAATGCGTTTCTGTACGGGTGCGAAATGTGGGCGGTGGGGTGCTAATAGGAGAACGGAGGACGCCATGGAAGTCAATATGAAATAGGCCAGATAGGTTGGTACGATACCTTCTAAAGCATCAAAGGTTAGTTAGTCAGGAGTTAATAGAGGGAAAGGTAGATCTACATTAGCCTACTGTTGATGAAGGAAAATGCAAAGATTAGTTCAGGACAGGACTCACGACCCTATAATGATGATGATATCTTGTATTACTACCATTTCCAAACAAAGTAAGAAACTGAAAATTATCAAAAATAGTAATCTAAATTAGTTTTCACCTGATAGGTATTGGGATTCGTCAAATGGGCATACACCATCTGGTGGTAAAATTTATAACTCGAATGAGGGAAAAATTTACATAGGAACTGTGCACGCAAATTGTAAAATTGTTTATTAAAATAATAAAACACGTTAAAAAAGTAAAAATTTTTTTGATGATGGAGTCGACGAAGTTTTCTTCTAAAGTTAAATCAAATAAAAAGTTAATATGTT